AATGTCTACTAAATATATGAAAACTTACTCCATTTCCCTAATGATCAAGAAAAAAAAGTTAAAAGAAGGAGATATTTTCATCATTCAGATTGAGAAACCTTAAAAAGATAAATAAGGGCAAGTAGCGTGATGGGTAAGGTGCTGGACTCCCACGTGGCTGCCTGAGGTCTGAATCCCGGACCTGGCGGCTTGCTTTCTCACTTTCCTTTCCTCTCTCTCTCGGGTCCAATTAAACAGTAATAATAATAAATAAAATTAAATAAATACTTCTTAAAAATGTTCAAACATAAAAATTAAAGCTAGGATGGCGTACAAGGTATAGAGCACTCTTCTACATGCTTGGCAGGATGTAAATAGATGAACTCTTTCTTGAGGCCATTTTGCCAGTTCCTATTGTTACTGGACAAACATACAGACTGGGCCCGAATGCCGACCTCCTTCACTGCCCGGTAAGCCAATTTCTGAGACAAGGAGTATTTGCATAGAGTGCCATCTCGAGTGTGGGGTAAGCGGGGTTTTTAAACAGAAGTCAGGAATGTGACGATGTGAAGGCCTGAGGGTAGGAACTGGGGGCTTTCCAGAGTGGTTTCTTTCTTTCTTTTTTTAATATTTATTTAGTCATTCATTTATTTTAATTTGACCAGAGAGAGACAGAGAGAAAGTGAGAAAGCAAGCCACCAGGTCCGGGACTTCAACCGTGGTCGGCCATGTGAGAGTGCCTAGTGCTTTAGCCACCATGCCACCTGCTGGTCCCCAGAGCGGCTTCTATAATGTCATCTTTGATGGATAGTGCTGCTTTCTTGGAGCCAGCAGACTGCAGGAGTAACCAGAGCCAGATGTTTTCATTACATCTCTTCAGGGTACAGAGTTCAAGACAAAGAATCCTTAGAACACCTGGATCTCTTCAATCTTTAAATGCCACTTGTGACCGTGTCTTGCAAAAGTTGAACAATTAAGGCTGTCACAAGGTGGTCACTACCATAATCATAGCATGCAGATAGTATCCATTAGTCGGGAGGGATTTTTTTGCATGAGCTCTTCTTATTGAGTAAGGTAAATTGCCTAGGATGCCAGAGCATACATCCTTTTTTATCTGGTAAATACTACATATACATATACATACACACACACACACAAACATGTGTATATAGAGTCTTAATATATTACTGTATACATGCATATACACATACATGTATATATGTGTATACAAAAACCTAATATATATATTATGTATATATACATATATATGTATGTATATATATTGGACTGGCAGAGGGTGTGGTGGTTGGGGGTTCTGGACTCCCACACGGCCAACCATGGTTCGAGTCCTAGACTGTTGGCTTGCTTTCTCACTTTCCCTCTCTCTCTTGCTCTGTCCCTCTCTGGTCAAATTTAATAAATAAATAAATTTAAATAAAATAATTAAAAAATGTATGTATATATGTAAGTATATACATGTATGTGTATATATAATGTAGACACACATATATGTATGTATGTACACACACATACAGACACACACATACACATATATAATATTCGATTTTTTACCATAGGGCACCTGTGCTTGCTGGAGAGAGATGGAGAGACACACAGAAAAAGTGAGAAATCATTCCTATGGAGGATGGCCACGCCCCAATCCCTTCTCCTTCGTTCTGTTCTTGGGGTTCTGGGCATGCATGCACATATGCCTGGCATGAATTTTAAGCCACTGGATCTGGGACTCAAACTGTGGTTGGCCGCGTGAGTCCAAAAACTTAACTGCCATGCCACCTGCTGGCCAGTAATATATTAAGACTAAATGAAGAAAAATTATTTTTTTGCTTCTCAGGGACTGATATCACTATCAGTGAAAAATTAGGTATATTCTCTTTCATCCAACATTCATTCATATATTCATTCAACAGATACTTAATTGAGCACTTCTTATGTGACAGGCCCTGTTCTATGTGATGAAAATAAATAGTGAAGAAGATAAAAGCAATAACAAATAAGAAAGCAAAGGTTCGAAAGTTTTTGCCATAGGACACATGTGCCCGCAGACAGACAGAGAGAGGAAGTGGGAAATCACGCCCTGTGAGGGATGGCCATGCTGCAACCCCTTCTCCTCCAGTCTCCTCTCTGGATTGCGGGCATGCACATACAGGTGTTCAGCATGATTTTCGAGCTGCTGGGTACCAGACTCCAACGCAGTGGGCTATGTGGTAGTCCAGCACCATAAACATTTTACCACCCACTGGCTCCAGTAAACAAATTTTTGATAGTGAAAGGAGTTAAATAAAATAAGCAGGGTACTGTGATGCAGGGTGATGGGGGTTGGAGTGGGGGCTACTTAAAAAGTGAGTAGTTCTTGGGATCAGCAGTTGGCGTAATGGCTATGTCGCTGGACTCCCACGTAGTCGACCACGGTTCGCGCCCCAGACCCCGGGGCTTAAACTCACACCGGGTGTGCCCAAGATCCCGAGAGGAGAATGGAGGAGAAGGGATTGCAGCGTGGCCATCCCCAGGGTGATTTCTCATATTATGTCTCTCTGTCTCTCTCTGTCTTTCTGGCGAGTACACGTGCCCTATAGCAAAAACCTCTCTAAAAAAAAAGAAGAAAAAAAAAAAAGCAGTACTTCTTGAAATTGGAAAGGTTTCTCTAGCAGAATTTGCAGCAAGTGCAAAAAGTCCTTTGTACCAACAAGCTGTTTTTCTATCCTCCAGCAAAGCCTCAGTTTGAAGGCAGAGAGCTAGGACTTGAAGGATTGGATAGAGGGCACTAACACTACTTCTGGGGGTGGGCACTAGCCTGGTAGTTAAGGCAGCCAGATCCAAAGCAGCAGACCATAGGGTTCCAATCTCCACGCGGAGACTTGAAAAACACACAAGGGATTGCAGTGTGACCATTGTGGGGAACATTGTCTCTCTTTCACTCCAGGTGCCCTCTGGCAAATTACAAGAAGGAGAAAAAAATGACAATAACTCTTGGATTTGACTCTGTAACAATCATGCCAGTGGTCTAACACATGAGTATTTGGGTATATGCACTAGAGATTATTAGAAAAGCTAGACCTGCCACCAGTATTCAGCAATATAATTTTAAAGTCATGGCGCACCCATTTCATTTGTGCCATGCAACTTAAAACACAAAGATGCCCAAGACACATAATTTAGTGAAAAAGCCAAGTGAGACCTATTCTTACAAAACAAACTATGTGTTTATCGATTTGTGCATAACTAATATTCAGAAAGTACACACGGTACTCGGAGGAGGTCTTGGGGGAGAGAGGGTTTCTCTTCTTCCTTTGGGCCCGTATTGTCTGAATTTGTTTTTGCAACGCGCGTACCTGCCATTCCTGAAGTTGCAAAATAGTTAAGAATGTGTCTAACTTAAGGCAAAAGGGGTCAGATCCTTACACAATTACTGATTCCCAAAGGAGCTAAGGTACCTTGAGACTCCATTCGTTTAATCGGAATCATCCTGACTGGCGCCGTTTGTGCGGACCACGTGTGCTCAAGCACCCCGCCCAGACCTCTCCGACTTGCCCCGGGCGGGTCCCAAGCGCCTTCCCTGGAAACCCGGGGAACCGAGCGCCCGCCTCCCAGGCTCCGTAGTCGCCCCACCTCGCGCATGCTCCCTCCCCGCGAGCGCGGGAGCCCAACTTCCCTTCACTCAGTGCGCAGGACTGCAGCCCCCTCCTCACGCCCCCTCCCCACGAGGCGTCCGGCGCGGTATGTGTGCGTCATCGCGCCACGCCACCACTGGAGCCCGGGGAAGATGGCGGCTG